AAGCAGTAAGTTGGTAACTGAGATTTATCATTTATGTTAATGTGCAGAGGCCATTTAATCCAAGTTTGTCAAAAGAAAAAGTAATAATATATATATATGGAGAAAGCTAAGAAATAACACAGCTCAACAAATTAAACTTGCAATCACCAAAACTAGAAAATAATTAAGTGCTCTCACCATTGATCTTGTCAATGGGTTTTCTCTGACTAATTCTTTTAGGTTAATTAATATATTATTTAATTAATAAATATTAGATGTATTAATAAAATATACTATTTTTTAAATAGAAAGTTGATTATGCACACAAAAGCAAAGATTTAGATACAAAGCACCAATTTTCGTTAATTTACAAACATTGGGTAAAATTTTTTGGCTTAAACTGCCCATTATCATTATGTCTAAAAGCTTTACATTCGATGGCCATAATACAACAACCAAGATGTTACGTTGTTCACTTGGGGTGGTTTTAAAAGATAATAATGTATGATACGTAGGAATTTGATGGCCTAAAATTTATTTCACGTCCCAACTTAATGATTTGGTTTGACATTTGTATAAGCAGACAATGTGTTCCTTTTTATGTGAAATTTTTGTAGACCCTAAGTTTTTTCTATAAAATAATGTTTTGGTTAGAGAATTATTACCACGATTTGGTTAAGCAATGCAACAAATAATTGAGCCTTTGGTTCATATATTGGAGTGACTGTCTATTTGTATTGTGCTATATGAGGTTGCCAAATACCTGTATGGTGGGACAATGTTCAGTTAAATCTCACCTTTAATCCCAAATGCTTAGCCATTGATTATCAATCAACTCATTTTTAATGTAAAATCTTATCAATGTGTTAGTCTCAAGTAGGAATGGCATAACGATCCGAACCCGACGGGAAAACCCGAAACCCGGATAAGTTCAGGTCGGGTCGGGTTTGAATAATATCGGGTCGGGTCAGGTATCGGGGTAAAATTCGGAGATTTTTTCGGGTTCGGGACAAGGTATTCCCGCCCCGATTATATATATATATATAATATTTTATATTTTTTATATTAATTTTATATATAATATTTTATATATTTTATATTAATTATATATATAATATATAATATTTTTATATTAATTATATAATAAAAGCCTTAAGCCCTAAACCCTAAATATTTAAACCCTAAACACTAGCTTTTATAATTATTAAAGTAAAATTTAGTTGATTTTTTGATAAATTTCTCAATGTAGGGAGCTACCAAAGAAAGTGACACGACGATTTTGGATGACTTTATTTGACTTAATATTACGTATGCATATTCGTTGTATGATTTGAATATCGGAACAAGTTTGTATTTAATTATGTACATTTTTATTTTGGAGTTTAGACAATTATTTAGAATTAGGTTTGAATTTGTGATTGTAGTTTGAATTGTAAATCATGTAGACTAATTTTTCAATTTTTTTGTAATCGTTTTTTCTATTTTTTATGAAAATTATGGTTGTTCGATTTTTTCTAGGGATCGGGTCGGGTTCGGGGACGGGGCAAAAAAAATCCCCGACGAGGCACCCCGATAAAAAACCTGACGGGAAACGGGGCGGGGACGGGGGAGCTGAACCCGCCCCGTTGCCATTCCTAGTCTCAAGGGGCACAGTAGAACACATAAGTAAAGTTCAAGAGGGCAAAGTATATACATGGAGAATTTGTGCCATAAACCCAATAATTTATATCAGGGTAAACTACATATTTAATACTTAAATTATTAATTTTATTTTATTTTGGTATTCAAACTTTAATTTTTTTAAAACTATATCTAATGTTTAGTATAGGTTTCATTTTAGTATCCACCATTAAAACTTAACGATGATGTTGATGTATCACCATAAGGTAATATCACATTATCATTGATTTTTTTAAATACCACGTCAGCAATTATGTTAAGTTTTTATCAGCGAGATACTAAAATCGAACTTAAACTAAATGTTATGTATGATTTTGAAGAAAAAAAATTGATACCAAAACGAAACAAAAATAATAATTTAAATATTAAATGTGTAGTTTACCTTTTATATTATTTCAAGTTAATTATTAATGTATTTATAGACACAATAAGAGTAATTAAGCATCATACACCAATTGAAAACATTCTAAATTTGAATTAAAGTCCCAAAAGGATAATATATTAGAGAACAAGAATGTAAATAATCTATAAAGCATGATAATTGAATTTATTCCAAATATAAAATTTCTCGTAAAAGAAAAATTAATAAAATAATTAAGACTATCATATAATACTGTCGGGTGTTATTGAATAAACCTAATTCATAACTATCATAAAAATCTAAAAGAGATTCCAATACCTAAATAAAATAATGAAGATATCTTAATAATTTATGTCACTACGAGAAAATACAACAACAACAACAACAAAACCCTGATTCCCATATGCAATGGGATAAGGGGGAGGTAGGGTAGTAGGCTGACCCCAACGTCAGGTTGAGAGCAGCTTCCGTGGAAGACCTCCGGCAGTCAGAAAATTAAAAATAAAGATAAGATGCAAATGCGTGTATAAATAAATAAATAAATAAATACACAGATGAACAGTCTTCACTAAGAGAAAATAATGGAACTAAAATATAAAAAATATCGACAATATTTTTACATATAATAAATCTATTGAAATAATGAAAGAAAAAAAGGATTTTAATTTATCAAAAGAATATAAATATAGAAATGATTGAAAAAATATAAAAAAATGTTACTTAAATATAATATATAATTAACCCCCCAAAACATAAAATTTTAAGATTAATAGAGTAAACACCTGAAGGTGTAAAGTAAATGGAGTTCAAATGAGTAATTTTTTAAACAAAATAAAATAGATGAAGTCGCATGGTATAAAGTATGGTTTTAATCATAATTTTTTTAAAAAAAAATTGTGATTGATGCATCAACCTTTAAATTTGGTAGCTATAAAAGATTTTATATACATTTAATGATCGTGTGGATCCTTATATAATACAATTCATCTTTGAAGAATTTAAGTGTTAGAAGTATACTAAAATTTTTAAAAATTTTAGTCTAATACGTCTGGTTAAATATTTAGATGATACATTATATTTATTGGACATCTAAGAAGAGTGTTATAAATATGTATTATTTATGGATGTCCATTATGATTGTAATTCTAAGCTTTAGACCTTGAAGTCCACTAGAATTATTATTTGATGTAACTTATTCTCTTTAACAAATAAATATATAGTTTAGGAAAAAATATTATACACATTCTATATTATGAAAATAATACAAAATTCTCTCTTTATTTTTGTATCTCTTATTATTTGTTTGCTTAATATTCTATTCTCTATTTATAACAATTCACAACTTCTAATTTTTTGTGTGCATAAATATTAGGTGTTATTCGCTTATTTATTCTACTTTTTAGTTAAATATTAATCTTAAATCATATAAAACTCTGTCATCAAATAATTGAATTATTATATTCCTAATCTTTCTCACTTTGTTTGTTATCAAATTTTTTATGCCCGAAAAAGAGTGAAATGAAGTGGTTGATCTTTTGAAGAAGAGAATATTCAATTGGCCCCGTGAATAGTCCTGACTGGGTTCAACCAATGAGGCCTAAAACATTCGGCGAGACTTGGTAGTTTTCCCGGATAAACTCGCTCCCCAACTTCTTCCCGGCAGCTTGTCAAAGACTTGGTTGGATATTCCAGCAGTGGTATTTTGTCTTGAGTTCTGTCCAAAACTATGATAATGAAGCATGCATTACATTATTGAGAATCTAAATGAAGAATGCATTACATTATTGGAGAATCTAAATGAAGTATGCATTACATTATTGGAGAATCTAAATTTTTAATGATGTTAGAATATTGCATTGGTCATTGGGAGGCATGTAATAAAGATTAGTCCTGTGAGTTGTAATGTGAATGCCATTAATACCAAATCCCCCAACTGATGAATTTAAAACCTCAGATCCTGTCTTGGGTTTGAACATTCCAAAATGTATTAAATGTTATTTGGTTTTGAATAACTTTGCTTGCGGAACTCACTCTGGCGCTTTAATCCACGGGAAAGTAAGTATACATATGAAAACTTTAAAGAGAAGAAAATGCTTGGCTGAGGTTCAAGTCACTAGGTAAGAAGACTATGACTGTGTGGACTTGGTTGTGCGTGTGGGCACGTGGTTTCACATGCGCCATCATTTGTTTTCTTCGCTTTGGTCGGTGCTTCAATTGTTTTCTTAATGGGCCTATAGACTTAAAGCACCCATAATCACCAAAAATGGATAAAAAGGGTCCATTGCAACAAAACATTGAGGCTCCTGCTTAAAAGATTAAACTATATCCAATGCCACTTTTGTTTCTATTTTCAGTGATCTTTTTTATGAAACAAATATTAGATTTATGTTAAAGAGATTAAAAAAAAAAGGATGTATTGTAAATTTTGGGATCTAACGAATGTTGAGAATGGTGATAGATGATAGCTGACGACAATGATAAGCGCGGTCAACGGTGGAGAATTTTGGCTGGGTTATAAGATTGAGAGAATTTTTAAGGGTTTCTTTTAAATGAAATGGATGAAACAATTGTTCAAAGTTAAATGATCTAAATTTAATCAAATTAGATAACATAAATGATATAAATGTAACAATTGAAAGTTCAATGATCTAGATAAGAAAGCCTTAAATGTAATTTACCTAAAGTTAAAATCATGCAAATGAGTAAAGGTGTTCAATGTGCTGTTTTAATTCAATATTTAATAATTTAATGCTATTTTAGTTATTGATTAGGCTTAATTTTGTCAAATTCTGAGCCTTTCGTTCTAGTTGTTTTAGGTTTAGATATTTAAATTTGAAATTAGCATCTTTATTAAGTTTTGGATTTTAGTTATTTAAGATTTTGAGCATATTTCCAAATTGATATGGAATCATATTTTAAACACTGGGATTTGCCCACAAAAGAGAGAAAATGTTCCAAAAGTTATCTGTAGTAGTTTGCAATGCATAATCATCCTGGATTTGAGTCAACAAAAGCATATAAAAATATACCAAAAAGAATACTACTTACAAAATGTAATTTATTAAGTAAATCAGTGGAGCTCATCTGGCCTCACCAACCCTCAATGTTGAGAAAACTTGGCTAGAAGTTACACCTGAACCATCATCAAGTACCACAGTTGCATCTTCTTCGTCATTCGAAGGTAATGGATGAAGAACCGGCATTGTGAATTCTAATGAAGCATTAGTGGTACTATCTTCATCTGGTCCACCATTCATCGGAGTTAACTGAAGCTGCAATGCGTACTCTAAATCGTACAGCACATCCCGCATAATCGGCCTTTCTCTACCGGATGGCCTTAAACACTTTTCGGCTGTCTCACCAAACTTCCTTAATGAGTTGGGGTTGATTGTATCCACTAGCATTGGATCAATTATCTTCTCAAGTTGGCCTTTTCTCAACCAAAGCATTCCCCATTCGGCTAAGTTCACTTCTTCCCTCCTATTTGACCAGATAACCGCCGGCCTAGCACAGAGTACTTCGAGAAGCACGACTCCAAAAGAGTAGACATCGGATTTGTCCGTCAACTGCAGTGATAGGAAGTATTCGGGGTCGAGATATCCGAATGTACCTTTGACGTTAACACTGTGTTCAACATCAGGAAGGACTAATTTCGAGATACCGAAATCAGCAACTTTGGCTACCAACTGTTCATCAAGTAGGATGTTTGTGGACTTGACATCACGGTGAATGATTTCTCCATTCGAACCAGTGTGTAGGTAATTAAGTCCTTTGGCCGCGCCAATGCAAATTTCAAGCCTCTGCTTCCAAGATAATTCGGATCGAGCACCACACAATTTGTCAACAGAGGGAGTTGAGTAATAAAGATTATCTCTTAGGGTACCCTTCCCCATGAATTCATACACCAATATCATTTCCAATCCTTCATCACAGTATCCTATTAATGAAACAAGATGAAGATGGTGGATTCGGGACAAGACTTCAATCTCTGTCTGAAATTCTAAAAGGCCTTGTCCACGTCCCGGTTCACTCCTTTTAACAGCAACTTTCTTACCATTCAACAATCCTTCATAGACTTTTCCAAATCCACCTTCTCCAATCAACAAACTGGAATGAAAGTTCTTGGTTGATTGCTCAATTTCATGATAAGGTATTCTAAGAGCAAAATTTAAGTTGGAAGGGGACATGTTAGCTGAAGATTGTGAAGCCTTTGCTTTCCTGCACTTCGAAACCACAAGCACTGCCACTATCAAAATAATAACAAATGTACCCCCAACAACTGAACCAACAATAGCAAAGAGATTACTCCTTTTACTTTTAGGCTTCTCTGTAGGCAAAACAATATCCGATTTCTTCATAAACTCCATTATTTCGATTCCATTTAAGAAGGCATTTTGATCCTGAGAGTCGGATGTAGGCCCTACACTTATGTTCATGGTTCCAGATTCATCAGAATCAACCACACAATCGAAGTAAAACGGAGTTTCTAACTGTCCCGTTTGTTCATACGAACTAATCCTCTGGACAAACTTGTTGTAGATGGAGAGATTAAAGACAATAGAATCAAAAGATGGAGCAACTATGTCACAAAAGTGCAAGCGAACAAAGTGTCTAGAACTCTTACTCGCATTAAAGCTCCAAGTTATATTGGACAGATTCAATTTCCTGCTCTCTTCTACATTAATTTCCTTTGCAGTCCTATAAACAAGACTTGGGGCAATATATTCAGTGGCATTTCCCAATTTGTATTTAGGTTCATCACTAAAAAATGAACTGTTCCTAGCAGCTCTTGGATTGAATAAGAAACTATCATCTGGTATCCAGTTCCTCCACAATGTATCACTCTCTGGTGTGAGGATAGGCCCCCCAACATTGATCCTATGAAGGGTATGCAACACCTGAGATTGCAAATGGACGAAATAATTTCGTCGTCCGGCTGCCGGAGTAATGAGCGGAGCGGTATCGATTATGAACTTTTCAGGGGTAAGAAAGACTTCAATGGCGTTTATAAAAGCTAGATTTGATCCTTCAGTAGGTACAAAGTGGATTCTAAATCTTCCTACTCTAACATTGACCAAAAATTCCTTGATGACAGGCAAACCAGGATTGTTTTTGACACTAAAATTTGATAATAGACTAAACTCTGAAGCTACAACACTGAATACAGCGTTGGCTAGATTATTAGAAGATGAAGAAATAAAGAAATGGAGACGTACAAAGTAGGTGCCGCTTTCTTTCATCATAAACTCATAAAACGAAGGCTGTCGATAGGTTCTTGCGGACCAGTAGAGTTGAGACAAGCCGTCCGGGGGACTCGTGTCTTGGACAGTGCTGCTGCCTTGTCCTACGAAGAAGGAAACACCAGAACGCCGGTCGCCGACAAAGTTTCGACCGTCGTTGCCGTTGAAGTTGGAACTTGATCCACAGTTGATGAAGTACTCAGCAGGACGCGTGTAAGCTGATGAGAAAGGTAGTAGAAGAAAAAGGAAATGGAGGCCAAGGAGAAAGATGAATTGTTGGAACATGATGAGCTTTTCCACGGGAGAGAAATGAGATGTTAGTATTGTAGCTCAAATTTTTTTCAATGGAGGTCAAGTTATGACAGAGTAAAGGTGGTGGGAATCAATCAAGAATACGACTAGTTAAATTAAAATAAGATAAAGGAGCTTTAAAAAATGTTGAAGACAGAGGTGGTGGTGGTGGTTGATCATGTATTTTAAGAGGGAAAAATAGTGGAATGTGAAACACATGATTGACGTTGCATTTCCATATAAATAAATGTAACCCGTTAACAAAACAGGTTTACCTTGTCTCCGTGTGATGCATTAACAACTGATTTTCCAAAAGATTTAGAATTTTGCTTTTATTATTAGTATTATAGTGTTGCAATTTCTTTGATGCAGACTCCAAAAAGAATATGAATTATTGGTGTGGACAGTCAAAAAAGAAGATGAATTATTGGTGTGGACAGTACAAAAAAGTATTATATGTTGCAATTTCTTTGATGCAGACTCCAAAAAGAATATGAATTATTGGTGTGGACAGTCCAAAAAAGTAGGATAATCTTTTTTCTTTTGGTCAAGTTTAATAAAGAAGCAATGTTTAAACCCTAATCCAAAACAACCAAAGTGATTGCGTTCACATACTGCATCCCAACAAGAAGGAGAGAGCATTTCTGCGTATAATCGAGGGAAAAAAAACTTCATCTTTCGATTTAGTAAGTTCCAGCATCTCGGGTGGGGAGAGAGCATGCCTTGAATCTTAATTCTTATTATCTTTGCCAGTAACCAAAAAAAAAATCTCTAACTTTTTTCTGAATATTTGTCCCTTAAAATATCAAAAGTTACTATCGCTATTTTTTTATATTATTATAAGAATCAGTCAATTATAGTGTATCACTTGATAATGTTAACAATATAACTTATGAGAAGAATAAATGATATATTAAGTTTTTCGGATTTTATTTTTCTTTACTTCAATCTCTAAAAAAAATATTTAAACTGAAATTGAACTTTATCTATTTTTGTTTTATGATTTAATCTAATATTATTTGTAATATATTTTATTCAACTTTATGTAATATATCAATTTTATTAATAGGAATATGACACATTCCATCATCCATTGGAGGAAAAATAAGAGAACACTAATTCCTATCAAAGGAGTAGAACTTGTATCTCTTTAAAAAGATAACTCAACATTCAACAATTAAACCTTGAACTTGTTGTTTTATGGACAAAATTAAAATTAAAATTCATTAATAGTACCAATGGTAATTTTTTTTAGTTTTAAATTTAAATAATTATTTTTATAAGATATACCTTGAGTTGTTAATCGTATTTTCTTTTAAGTTGATTTTGAATAGCTAACTAGTACAGCTTACAATTTTGTAACGGATCACATTTGGTTATTCCAGTCGCGAATCAGCCTGAATTTTATTGAAATCGGCTCGGCAGGAGCCTTATGGGAAATAACTGAGCCAACTATATCGGGCCTAAATAGATATCCGTCCATCATCCAGATCCGAGATGCGGTATTTCAAATACTGGAGTAGGCCCAGCCTAATGAAACAAATCTTTTAATAAAAGGAATTTAATTAACTAATTAAAAAAAAGAAAGCTAGGAAATATTAGGGGAAATATTAGGGCAAAGAGGCATTAGAGGCTCTTGTATTTTTGGGAAAAAATCAATGTGACCCTCAAATTATTTTTTCACCCAATATAACCCTCCAACTAAAAAAATAAAAAAATTCAATGTGACCCTTTAATCACGTTTTCTATCGTCAATGGTTACAATGTTGACGTGATGTTTCACAATACTGACCTGGGAGCCCATGATGGATGATGATGTAGCGGATGACATGACTCATGTGTTAAATTGATTTTTTGGTTTTGTTCAAGAGTCAAATTGATTTTTTTTAAAAAATTTAAGGGATTATTTGTTTTTAAAAAAAATTAAAATTATTTAAAAATTTAAAAATAAAAATATTTAAAAAATTAAAAAATTAAATATAAAAATACTAAAAGTAAAAATTAAATTATTAAAAAAATATAAAAAATACTAAAAGTAAAAATTAAATTATTAAAAAATTAAATATAAATATTAATCATATTAAAAATACTATTAAAATTAAAAGAAATTAAATATATATAATAAATTATAAAATGATAATTTATAAATTATTAAAAAATTAAAAATATTTTTTTAAAAATATAGTGTACATAATATATACATGTAACATATAATCATATCATCAACACTTATATAAAATATTCTTAGTAGGTTAGTCACGACTTACGGATTTTATATTTAAATATAATTAGAAAAAATAATAAGTTTTTATATCGATAAACACATTTAATCATTGAATAATTCTAATGACTATTCATAAACCCTTACACAATATCTAATAAGCTAATATATAAAATAACGCTTAAAAATTATTTGAAATATGATTAGATTTATGTATTGACACAAGTAACGATTTTTATTAGTTATGTTTAGTATTTTTAATATATATGTATATATATCTGTAATTTAATTTTTATATTTATTCTTTTAATATTTATAAATTTATATATTTTAAATATTTTTATTTTTTTATAAAATTAAATAATTAACTTAACTTTTTAATAAACCAATTTAACCCTAAAACAAAATCAAAAAATCAATTTAGCTCATTACCGTGTCATCTATCACATCATCAGTTATTCTGACTACCATGTCAGCACTGTAAATCACCACGTTTGTACTATGAACTGCCACGTCAATATCATAACGTTCAACAACATACAAAGTTGGTCAAAATGTCACATTGAGTTAAGTTAGAGAGTTATATTGGGTTCAAAAATAATTTGAGGGCCATATTGGTTTTTTTCCAAAAGTACAAGGGTCTCCTGTGCCTTTTTGCCAGATAATATTCGTTTCTCTCTCCGTCCCTCTTTATCTCTGCCTTTCTGCAAAATCTAATAATAATAGGCTCTCTTTTATTTTATTTTTTACATTCCCTTACTCTTCTTCTCTCTCAGACGTTGGGTCGCTTACTTGATGATAGTTTGAGCTTTCTATTGTAGCCGTTGGATTAGGTGGGTTACGTAACTATGACCTCCATCACCTCCGTTGAGTTGAATTACCTCGTCTTCCGTTATCTTCAAGAATCAGGTCAGTTCAAAATTTCCTTTAATTTTTAGCCTCTCATTACAGCGATCCGTATTTTTGAATATTTTCTTTATTTCGTTATAATTCTGTACTTATTGGATTTTCCCTTTTTGCTGTATTTTCAGCTAATAACTTGTAATTTAAGCAGTTATTTCATTGCTCGTGCAACTGAAAGAAAATAAACGGGAAATAAATTAATTAGAGCGTATGAAATGTAATTTTGAGGTTAATTTCTGAAATTATGATGTCCAGAAGTACATTTTGGCTCTAGATCCGTAAAGAGGGATGGTTGATATTGAGGGTTATTGTGGTTAGGGTTTTGAATTTCTTAGTTTTTATCACCGGCATAATTTAATGATACTGGCTAGGGCACCAGATGTCTTTAGATGAGAATCTCTATTATTAACTCTCGCTTTCTGAAATGATAGATATTTAACATTATAATACTTGCACTGATTGAGGCAGACATCTCCTGATTCACATTTTGCATACTTGTAGACTTGTAGTATTGAATTGAAAATCTACACACACTACACATATTTTGCTTATTAATTATCACTGTTTGGTAGGATTAGAGTTAGGAAAGAGAAAGTTTGAAAGGAAAATAGTTCTTTATTCCATTGTTTTGGTGGAAGGAAAATGGATGGCTAGGCACCTTTAGGTACGCTGCATGATCTAGCTTTCTGTATATTGAATCATTAAATGTAAAGATGTTATCATTCATTAATTTACAAGACGCAAGAACCTGATTAGCTGCCCAATACAAAAATCATTACCAAAGTGGGAGGAAAACACTTATTTGACTTGAATCAAATTTTCTTTTCTTTCCTCACCTTTTATTCTTCCCTCCATTTTCCTTTCTTCAGAACAAGCATAGTCTAAATTTGAATTCTAAGAGCTAAGAAACAATTTTGCTATTTGTTTACATAGTGATTTTTATGTAGAGAAAAATTGGGGGAGGACTCCTTTGTTGTACATTATTGTTTCTCAAGTTTCAAATGAACCATCTTCTGCTTATCAAATGCCTGCAGGTTTTACGCATTCAGCGTTCACTTTAGGATATGAAGCAGGCATTAATAAGTGTACTATTGATGGGAGTTTGGTTCCACCTGGTGCGCTTATCACATTTGTTCAGAAAGGACTTCAGTACTTGGAGATGGAAGCCAACCTGAGTAATGTTAGGATCCTTATCATCATCATCATCATTATTGATAATTTTTCGTGGGTGGGGGATCACGTGATTGCTAAGACTATTATTTAAATATTCATCACTATTTGTTTTGTGTTTGCAGAATGATGCAGAAATGGATGAAGATTTCTCATTCTTGCAACCTTTGGATATAATAACAAAGGATGTAAATCAATTGCGGCAAATGATAAAAGAGAAAAGGAAGAATATCCAAAAGGACAGAAAAAAAGATGAAGATAAAGATAAAGAGGTTGATCGGGAGCATGAAGGAGAGCGTGGGCGAGTGCGAGAGAAAGAAAGACACGAAAAGGAGAAGGAACGTGAAAAGGAAAGGGAGAGGGCTGAAAGCAATAAGGAGAGAGAAAAGCAACCGGAAGAAGTTTCTTATAAAGAGATGGTTTTGGATCAAGAAGACAAGGATGTTGTTAGGCATGAAGAAAATGGAACTTTTGTAGGTTAGTAAACTCCTTTGGTATATTTATTCCTAACTTGATATCATTATCTTTTTATTAGCCTTGACATTTTGCGTAAATGAATATTGACAACTCGTGCAAAATAGCTCTGTTAACCAGTGTGCCAGGTCATTCATTTTCATTTCTATTTCTTCTCATCATGTAGGACCAGAACCTATGGATACTGCTACTACGTCGAACCCTGCATCTCAAGATGCTTGTGAAATTCCTAGCTCTGAGGTTACCATTTTGGAAGGGCACACTTCTGAGGTTTGAGCCTCTCTGAATCTTCTTACGTACCAAGATGGACTTGCACATATGCACATTTATTCCATCTCCTTTGTCTCTCTCTGAGCATTTATTACTGTAGGTCTGTGCGTGTGCATGGAGCCCAACTGGTTCACTTCTTGCATCAGGGTGAGTATTTTTCTGTAATGAAATGTTTCTTACATTGATAGTTTGGTCTTTTACATATGTATTTTCTCTACTTTATGCGTTTCCAGTCATTTTGCTTTCTTTTCCCTTCTGTCAAAACTTGCTAATTTGTGTTGCTACATGAGATGTATCTTTTGTGTTAGATCAATGAGAAAGTTTAGAAGTTCTAAAATGATACAAGTTAAGCCTTATTGGTAGCAAAACCTTTTTAATAGTCCTGCCCATGGGATAGGTGGTCTGTTTATGGAAATGCAATTTGTGCACTCTCGAGTTTTGTGACTATAGGACCTGTAGGTAGGTGTATTGTTGTTTGTAATGTGTTCTAGGGTCGGACAGTTGAAGTTCTTCATGTCCAGCAGAGATCCCTATTTACACTGTTGCTAATACTGGTTGAGGTCTTTCAGAAAACCAAACTGAGATCATGCTGATCTATGCCATGAGTTCCATTATTTATGATTGTTTCTCTTGTTTTCTAATTTCTGTTAGTTTACATGTCATCCGGATAATTGATAAGCGTGCAGCATGGGTTTTAATCTCTGCTGCTGAATAGTGGAGTGTCTTTGATCTTTGTGTGCATTCATAAAGTTTGTTTATTTCACTTTCACTGAACTCTCATTCCGTGAATTTCTAGATCTGGAGATTCTACGGCTCGTATTTGGACAATATCCGACGGGCTTTTCAAATCTGGTGCCCAAAACAGTCCTTCAAATGTTCTAGTTCTGAAGCATGTGAAAGGAAGAACAAATGAGAAGAGCAAAGATGTGACTACACTTGATTGGAATGTGAGTACTTCAAAACGGGCTTAAGTTGTTGACTAATTTTTGGTTCCTTTTAGTACAGAACAGACCCAACCCAACACTTTTTCTTCTCTCATTTACTTAATTTGATGTTATGGATTGCCACTTCATTTGACATACTTTGGTATAGAGCTGACAATACACGGAACTAATAAAATTTAATGTAATAAAAGAAATGACTAGAGATATCACAAAGAAGAGGCAACAAGAATAGCTGTTGTTTAACATTTTTATGATACACTTCCTACTTTTGTTTTCCTAGAATACTTGGTTGCAGGAATTAGGCTGGTTTCAGAGTAGTCTGTTTCAGTTAAACTTGATCTGGTTTCTCTAGATCATATAATAAACCTGATTAGTTCAGTTGTTATGACTGTATATAACATTGGTTCTTTGAGCGATGGATTTGGAGTGGCAGCCAGTTTTTTGGTCATTCAGGTGTTGATGGAGTAAGGACGGTGTTTTATTATCCTTAGATGGTTTTGTTTGTTAAAGCAGAATGGAAGTTGACCATGTCATTTTGCCAGTTTGTTTTCTAATGGATGTTCGGTTCATAAGGATTACAACTAATGCAAATACTTCTACTCTGCAATGGTGTTTTCTTATGTAAGAAGCAATTATTTCTATCTAAAGCGTGTATTTTTAATTGGTCTTGCTCGGTAAGTGCACTTAATTGGAAATTCTAGAAATGGCAAGTGTTGTTTTAATTGTTCTTGTGTAGTGAGTGAACTTATTGGAAATTCCATAAATTGCACTTGAGCTACTTGCCTATCTTGTTGTCATTCTTTTCAATGTAGAACAAGTATGATTCCTTTTTCCTACTTGTATTCAGGGTGAGGGGACATTGCTTGCAACAGGGTCATATGATGGCCAAGCAAGGATTTGGACTACAAATGGTAAGTTGGGTTAGTTTATTTGTGCCATTCTATATCCTCAAATTAAAGGCCACAAACCTATTTTGTTAAACCAGCCTTTGAGATGTTCAGATATACCGACTAAGTTTTTCCCCGTGTTTTTTGGTGCTCATAACATTCCTTTTTTTAATTAAATTAATAGCTGGTTACCTGGCTAAAATAAGAGGTTTATTTGTGTTTTTAACTGAACTTGTTATACTTTTAGTTATCTATAATTACGTCGCTATTTTGGACTGATTGTGAGACTTCCACACTTCATCTTCCTTGACCCCTTTTTCCCTCTCTGTCGCTCACTTCTTGGTTTAGGTGAACTAAGAACTACGTTGAGTAAACACAAAGGACCTATATTTTCTCTGAAGTGGAACAAGAAGGGTGATTATCTTCTTACGGGAAGCTGTGATAAAACTGCAATTGTGTGGGATGTGAAGGCAGAGGAATGGAAGCAGCAGTTTGAATTTCACACAGGTGGACCATTGGACTAAACTTTAATCTTTGGGTTTTGGTTGCATAACCGATAATCATTTCCCTGAATTCCACCGTTTTACCTTTTAGGTCCAACCCTTGATGTTGATTGGCGGAACAATGTTTCATTTGCAACAAGCTCCACTGATAATATGATATATGTTTGCAAGATTGGAGAAACGCGCCCTATTAAAACCTTTGCAGGGCATCAGGTTTGTTTCTGGTCTTAATGGTCTAACAATCTCATAATGTTCTTGGTTGGTTCTTTTAGTTTTATTCAAAAGAGTGCGCTAACTGTTGGATCCAAACAAGGTTCAAACTGACCAGGAAATGCCTATCCCTGATTCCTTTAGGTTTTAACCAATACTAATTTTGATGCAACTTGTAGGTGGTATGAAATGCATGTCTTCTACTGCTTGTAATGTCCCCCATAAATTCATCTCTCTTCTCCAACTCACTTTTTGTTTGTTTGTTTTCCTTACATTTCTAGATTAAATTTTTGTTATGTGCATCTGATAAAAAAGGGTTTAATAACACTTGGGTCAGAGATCAAGGTTCAATCTGAGCTTGAAATTGCAAACCCGAACTTCAACTTCCCTCTTGTATGCTTGAACTGATATGCCAATACTTCTTATAGCTTTTGTTTGTGTGCAATGAATGTTTATACATCTTGTTAGTGTCTCTCTAAATTCTAAAATCCTTTTCTCCTTTAAAGGAGAATGTTTCAAGAGCTACATATTTTTCATTTACTAATCTCTCTTTTTGTTTTTCTGTGAAACAAATTGCTAGGGAAGTTTTACAACAATGAACAAGCCTTATGGCTTTAATAACTTGCCAACAATGGGATTTAATTCGTAGCGAAAAACAATGATTTGTTTTGGATTCTGATAAGTAAAGCTTTTGAATTAAATTTGTGATCTCTACTCTTCTTTTCATGAATTGAACTTTGTGCTTTCCAGGGTGAAGTAAATTGCGTCAAATGGGATCCTACAGGTTCACTATTGGCCTCTTGTTCTGATGATATTACTGCAAAGGTTGTATATACAATCCTTTTATCATTACTTAGCAGACATCCTTCATGACAATAAACGTTTTTTGTTTGGTTACACCTTGTCTGATTCTTTTCCTTTTTGGAAATTTAAACAATACCTATATATATAAATTTTAAAATAACATGCCACCTTTTTGGATTGTTATACATTCCTTTCTGTTGGTTTTGTGTTTTGTTTTCTTTTGTTGCTGCAGCTTTATATATTAGTTTTCAATTTTTCATTCTCTTTTTCTTATATGTTTCAACTAATAGAAAGTCTTGAAGCAGATATGGTGTATGAAGCAGGACAAGTATGTTCATGATCTGAGGGAACATTCAAAGGTGCTTTTGGGCTTTCAATTTCTTTTTATATAATTTGTTTGTGCATATCTGGGTGCATTTACTGTAATTTTAGGAGAAATTTTAAACAAATGTTCTGCAGGAGATATATGCCATCAGATGGAGTCCTACTGGGCCAGGGACAAACAATCCTAACCAGCAACTAGTTCTTTCAAGGTAAAATTAAGTAATGATTCTTATTAGGTCTAACATTTCTAGACTTGGCTGTTTCAAATAGCAGGATACTATCCTTTACATTTAATCTTTTCAAGTTTGAACTTGATTGAACTTATTGATTAAGAAGGGTAATTATAAATTTCTCTCTTTGTCTGTATGTTTTTGTAGAAAACATACTGTAGAAAGAAAACAGACTGTATTGTAGAAAACAGACTGTAGAAAACAGAGAAGTCTGTTATTTTATTCTTGCATACTTTCAGTAGAAACATATTACATATTTATATACAAATTATGCCTCTAAACTAGGAAACTCTAAGTTAGGAAAGATACTAATCCTAGGAGATGTAATCCCTTGAAATAAGGGATTGAAAAACAGAAAATAATTATAGAATCTCATGACAGCTCATTTCTATAATTCCTACACTCCCCCTCAAACTGGTGTATATATGTTGTATATACCCAGTTTGAATGATAGCTCATCAAAAGTCACTCGTGGAAGGGCTTTGGTGAAGATATCTGCAAGCTGTTTCTTCGTCGGAATGTACTGCAGTTGTGCAACTCCATTGTTGACCTCGTAAATAAAATGTCTGTCTATCTCAATGTGTTTCGTTCTATCATGCTGCACTGGGTTTTTTGCTATACTCATAGCTGATTGACTGTCACTAAAAATCTCAAAATTCTTCTTGTCATCTAAGTCCAGTTCTGTGAGCAGTCTTTTAATCCACATTCCTTCACATATACCGAGAGCCATTGCTCTAAACTCTGACTCAGCACTACTTCGAGAGACAACGACTTATTTCTTACTTCTCCAAGTCACCAAATTACCCCAAACGTAGGCACAGTAGCCACTAACTGACCTTCTATCAGTTAATTCACCTCCCCAGCTTGCATCCGTATAAACCTTCACTGTTATGTCTTGATTTTTTCTAAATATAAGTCCAGCTCCTGGGGTAAACTTCAAGAACCTTAGAATTCTGTTAACAGCTTCCAAATGTTCTTCTCAAGGATCATTCATATGTTGGCTGACAATGCTCACTGAATATGCAATATCAGGTCTGTTCAGTGAAAGGTAGATCAACTTACCAACTAACCTTTGGTAGGTTTCCTTGTTTATTGGATTTCCAGTCCGATCCTTGCAAAATTTCAAGCATGGCTCCATTGGAGTTTCAACTGGTTTGCAGTCAAACATCCCTGTTTCTGCAAGAAGATCCAAAACATACTTACGCTAGTTTATGACCAGCCCTTCTTCGGACCTTGCAACTTCCATACCCAGGAAATACCTCACCCTCCCTAAATCCTTGGTTTCAAACTCCTTTGCAAGATTCATCTTTAGCTTTTCTATTTCTTCTATATCACTGCCAGTTATAATCATATCATCTACATAGACAATTAGGAGGGTTATCTTACCACTTGGTGTAATTTTTTTGAATAATGTGTGATCCGCTTGGCTTTATTTGAAACCATTATGTGTCATAGCCTTAGCAAATCGATCAAACCAAGCCCTGGGAGACTGTTTTAAGCCATATAAGGATTTATTGAGCTTGCACACAGTTTTCTTAGTGACCTTTCCTTCTAATCCGAGGGGGACCTCCATGTATACCTCTTCTTCAAGGTTCCCATTCAGAAAAGCATTCTTTATGTCCAGCTGATGCAATTTCCAGTCCATGTTAACGGCTACTGATAACAATATTCTGATGGTATTCAATTTTGCAACCGGTGCAAAAGTCTCCTGGTAGTCGATGCCATAGGACTGAGAAAAACCTTTAGCAACCACCCTTGCCTTGTATCTTTCCACACTCCCATCCGAATGATATTTGACTGTGAATATCCAACTACATCCAACAACTCTCTTCCCTTCTGGCAAATCTGTCAAACTCTATGTCTTATTCTTTTGCAACGCTTTTATCTCCTCTTCCACAGCCTTTTTCCACTCAGGAGATTGAAATGTTTTTGTCATATTTTTTGGGATTTTCACACTGTTAATGCTGGTAGTGAAGGCCCTGAAATTATACTGTAATTTCCCATATGCAACATACTTATTTATGGGATGAGCAGTGCATTTTCTTACCTCCTTCCTAATAGCAATAGGAAAGTCATCAAGATCAACAGTAGTAGCCTCTTGGTAACCATCATTACCTTCTGTTTCAGATGCAATAGGATCCGAATCTGGTTCTTGGCTTTCAGAGGCAACAGGATCCGAATCTGGTTCTTGGCGAATACTAAGCTGACTGATTTCTTCAGCAACATCTTTCCTTCTTCTTGAGTAAACACTGAGTTGTTTCGGATGGGGAGTTATGGTTTCAGGGTCATTGTTAGGTGCATTTTTGGTAGTGGTGGAAGGTGTTTTGCACGGACTAGAGTTCTGAGATAAGGAGAAAGGTAATTCATCAGAGTTATTTAGGTCATTCCCATCACCCTCACTAGGAACTGGGACAGTGCTAGCAGGCTTTGGAGAGACAGTAATAGGTAAAGAAAGGATAGGCTGTAAAGAAATATTGGTTTAAACATGCTGAAATTCCTTATAACTCTCTCATTGAATTTCTATTCCCGAAAAATAAGGTTGGTTTTCAAAAAGTGTAACATCAAAGGAGACATATGTCTTTTTTGTGGAAGGTGAGTAACACTTGTAACCCTTCTGACTCGAAGAATAGTCCAAGAACACACACTTTATGGACCTAGGATCTAATTTCCCTCTGTTGTGGGTATGAACAAAGGTTGTACACCCAAACACCCGAGGAGAAAGACTTGAGTTTAAATGTTTAAAATGGGGAAAAAGCTGAAACAAAACCTTAGTAGGAATTTTGAAATCTAAAGTCTTACTTAGCATTCTATTGATGAGGTACGTGGCTGTAAGAAGAGCTTCCCCCCAAAGATACTTAGGAGCATTAGCAGCAAACAGAAGAGACCTAGTAACCTCTAGAAGATGTCTATTTTTCCTTTCTGTTACCCCGTTTTGTTGAGGTGTGTTGACACAAGACGTAAGGTGAACAATGTCTTTTTCCTTAAAGAAATACCCAAGTGTTTTTTTCAAATACTCACTTCCATTGTCACTCCTCAGAATTTTTATTTTTGTGTCAAATTGGGTTTCAACTTTTTGATAAAAACTTTTAAAAAGAGACTCAACCTCAGACTTTTCTCTCATTAAGAATACCCATGTTGTCCTAGAGTAATCATCTATAAAAGACACAAACCACTTATACCCATAAATACTTTTGACAGGAGAAGGGCCCCAAATGTCACTATGGATGATGGAAAAAGGTGGTGTTGGTTCAAATTTGGCTGCAATATATGGTTTTCTGGTGTGTTTGGCTATTTGACAAATTTCACAAGAAAACAAGGATGGATCTTTATTTATAAATAAGTTTGGTAACATTTTGGAAAGAGAGTAAAAATTAGGATGACCTAATCTAGAGTGCCATAACATAATTTTATTGGTATTGAGATCAGAAGATAAAATTGGTTTCCTAAGAGCACTGGATAAGGCATGATTATGAGATGTTTTACTTCCAAGAGTGTACAATCTTTTGCCCAGCCTAGCACTGCCAATCACCCTCTTCGAGTCTTGTGCCTGAAAAATGCAACCACCAGTACCAAACACAACATTACAACCATAATCTTTAATTAATTTGCTGACTGACAACAGATTGCATGCAAGTCTAGGAACATAGAGGACATTATGAAGTATTAGATTTTTGTTTAATGTAACAGAACCACTCCCTTTGACTATAGTGAGAGAGCCATCTGCTATTTTGATAGAAGCTGGTAAGCTGCTTTCATTATATTCCTCCAAGAGATCAATATTTCCTGTCATGTGATCTGATGCACCCGAGTCTATTATCCATTGTACCGAGAAAGCATATGGATTATTTCCATCAGTAGCAGTATAAGTCACATTGGTAGGCTTGGCTATCATATTGCTCAAAATCTGCTGCAGCTCCTCTATCTGTTTCTTGCTAAAACTGCTTGAGGAATCATCTTGAGAGGGAATATGGGCCTCCTTTTGAAACCTGGACCATGTGGGCTTTCAGTCGGCTGGTTTTCCGTGCAGCTTCCAACATTGATCTATCATATGGCCTGGTTTCTTACAATGTTCACACCAGAGGCGATTTTGTTTATGCTGCACTGAAAATCTGAAATCTGAAAAACAGATTGAGAGGGGCTGGTTTGGGAAGTGATTTCGGATGCTGAGGGATCCCGATTAGCCATGAAAAAAAATAGAGTTAAACAGGAATTGATTTAAAGAGAAGCGGAAATCGGATTGATCGCTCTAACCTGATACCATGTAGAAAACAGGCTGTAGAAAGAAAACAGACTGTATTGTAGAAAACAGACAAGTCTGTTATTTTATTCTTGCATACTTTCAGTAGAAACATATTACATATTTATATACAAATTATGTCTCTAAACTAGGAAACTCTAAGTTAGGAAAGATACTAATCCTAGAAGATGTAATCCCTTGAAATAAGGGATTGAAAAACAGAAAATAATTACAGAATCTCTTGACAGCTCATTTCTATAATTCCTACAGTTTTATCTCCAGTATACTTCTGTACCTTTTCTCTCTTTCCAGTACATATTTTATGATAATTTTAAAAAATTTAATTTGATATTTCACCCAATGTAAGAGTGGGTTGTGACACAAAGGCATTGTTTCTAAAACCTATACTGGCCGTCAATTAATCCCGATTTAGGATGCAATGGTTCTAGGATTAGATAAAAGAGCTTTCTGGTTTTTTAGTAGAGATGCAACGATATTGCAGTAACCTGAAGGAGAAAAGGGAGAATAAAGGAGAAGAATAACGTGTCTGATTCATTCTATGTTCATTAACGACTCATTGTGCTATTTGGTGTGAAGTAAATCCCTTTTTAGTTTCGAGATGAACTCTCCTTGAAAAAGAAATGGAATTCATGGTGTGTGTTGACTGTGTTGCCCGATCTGCCATGCTAAAAATCCTGGTTTAAATTTTCCTCAACATTCTCTTTTCCTTTTGTTTTTATGTAGTGCATCATTTGACTCCACGGTGAAGCTGTGGGATGTGGAGTTGGGGAAACTTCTCTACAGCTTGAATGGACACAGGTACCATCCCTCAAATCTGTTATCTATTCCTTCCTTCTATGTAAAGGATGCAACACTATAAATGCTTCTATAATTATATACACCATAAGATTACTACTAACCTTGTTGATGCTGAAATGAGCAATTAATCAAGCATGGTTTAGGCAAAAATGTCGAATGTAATGTGTTGCACTTTTTTCTTCACCTCGTTTATTGATTGGTTATGCTAGGGACCCTGTATACTCGGTTGCGTTTAGCCCAAATGGAGAGTATCTAGCCAGTGGATCTCTTGATAAGTCCATGCACATCTGGTCCTTGAAGGAAGGGAAGATTGTAAAAACATATACAGGCAACGGCGGAATATTTGAAGTCTGTTGGAACAAGGATGGTGACAAGATTGCTGCTTGTTTCGCAAACAATACGCTATGCGTCCTAGACTTTAGAATGTAACAAACGTAGAAACTTCCCTCTCTATTTAATGAATTAGAGATGTAGCAAGCTCTTAAAATAGTAAGTTAAAATTAGGTAGGTGTTTTCATTGTAGTGAAAAGGGGAAACTGTAACTATAGCATAGGTGTTGTAGTTCGTGGATTAGGCATTCCAAACGGAATTTGGTAGTTGGAATTTGTAATTGTGAACTATGGGTCTCTGCTTTGTGAGCTAAGTAGCCAATTAACAATGATGTATTGCATCGTTTTGCACTTTATAGTCAATTTTTAATCATGCGCCTCGTCTACGACGTTGAAAATCATGAAATGGATGATAATAATAATAATAATTTATTAAAAGAATAAAAGAGATTTTATGGATATCGAAGTTATGAATGAAAAGAACAGAAAACTAGTTACTTTTACATATTTATACTGAAGGATTTATACTTGGCATATATTATGAAGGTACGCATTCATATGGATATAATTTTAATTATATTCAAGTATAAAAATAGAGGTTAAATAGATTGAAAATTACATATTTTTTCGGAACATGTTTTAAACCTAATTGGGTCCTAGTCCTTTTATTTATTTATTTATTTTCACCTCTATTGTCAAATATTATCAGCTAGTTTAAGTTGTCTATTACAATACCAGCAAGCATTTTTCAAATTGATCAACACCTTTAATTTAAGTTATTTTCAAAGTTCAATCTAACATTCAATATACTTTCTCACAATTAACATTGTTTATGAGCTATACCAAGTTATTAACCTACTGGTCAAAGCACAAAGACCTGGCACTGCAGTCACCAGTTATGGCTCTCTGAGGTAGGTGTTAGTTGTGCGTGCCACATGCTGGATTTGAGCAACTACCAATCTTCTCCTTCCATGGTTGCAATGCTATCCCCAGCTTTATAGTTTTCAAACCCCTTCGAAGAGAGGCTGAAACTCGATGCTTTACACTTTTTTTTGCATTGAAATTCTCTTCTTTCTCTTGCTCCGCCGCATAATTTGTTTTTGAGATGCCCCCTGTGGGGTCAATCTCAATTCTCAAATAATCTCTACTTGAGCTCTGTTGCATGGTGTTTTTGAGTTAGTGCAGCATCTTTTTCCTGAAATTTCATTTCTACACTTCATTATCCTGGTTGTTGTACATTTTCTCTGGAAGGACATGTAGCTGACAAGCAAAAAAATCCATAAACATGTGCTCCATTCTGAATGCAATGAATCAACTAAAACTCCACCGTGACGACTCTCGGTCCATGACTTTATTGAGTGAGGTGAGTCCCGGTTGCCAGTTTCATGTCGATTCTTTAATCTTCAACTCACAATTAAAGCAACGTATGATCTGATACAGGATGATGAAGTAGAATGGTGTGATCTGATACAGGATGATGAAGTAGAATGGTGTAACGCCCTTAGTTTGTTTGCACGTTTAGTGGCTTATGTTGCAATTCTAGGTGAGTACTTAATAAGGATTGTAAAAATGTATACTTTTTCGAGGATTAATTTTAAATGGCTTTCTGCAGCCGTGATGGTGTTGGTAATTTTGCTGATTCTTAAGTACTTGACGGAGTTCGGTGACGAGAGCGGTGATTCAGAAGAGGTGAGGGCAGCAGCTGAGTCCGTGACTGAGCCTTTATGCCCGGAAAAGGCAATACCGATAACGTATGGAACATGTGAAGATAATATAGAAACAGGAAGTTGCAGTAGTGGTGAGGAATTATATGATGCAAGGATGTGTATAATTTGCTATGATGAGCAAAGGAATTGTTTCTTTGTTCCTTGCGGCCATAGTGCTACCTGCTATGACTGTGCTAAAAGGTATTTGTTAGTGATTTTCCTCTTCTCTTTTTCATTAGTAAATGATAGGTTCAGAGATCAAATTATGATATATGTATTTATATATATATATATATATATATTTGTAGGATTGAGAAAAATAAGGTGTGTCCTGTGTGCAGAAGAATTATTGGCAAAGTCAAAACTTTTTGCTCCATAACTCCACTAATTATTGCTTAACTTTTCTCTTCTTGTAGAATGCAAGTATTTTGATTAAGGACCAAATGAATTAATCTTAAAATTTTGGAAACTGAGGCCAACAACAATCACTTGACTGCCATTATCTGGTTTACGGTCCTCGGATGTTATTTAAGTAAAAACCTCAACAGTTATGGGTAGTGCAAGAAAGTTTGTTTTAAATTTAAAATATCTAAAATAAATTATATAAATTAATGTACATGGATGAAACCAAAATATTAGAACGATGACTAAAAGGAAAAGCTCTCGTGAATTTAAAATACTATTTTTCTTTTTAAAAACAAGATTTACTTTTTGGTAGTACGAGAATACAATATGTCAAAAAAAAATCTGTATGTACTAGTTGTAGTGTGTCCACCGATGCAGTATATTACAGAATGCTTCTCTTGGGATGAGACAAGCATACATATAACTGAAAATGAAAAGTCTCGTCTTTTCTTGAAACAAAATGTGAATCATAAAAATGGCTTGTTCCTAACTAAATCCTGCAAAGTCCAATGGCTAAAGTATTGACTGAGGTGAATGTATTTGTGTATGAAAACAGTTTATTACAGTATGTGCATGCAAAATACTTTTTGAAAATATTTCTAACGGATAAATGGAGATGTATGGACATTACTGATCCCAAAAACTTTTATAAAAAATGATGACGTGAAGAACCAGCATCAGAATAGTCAAACTGGAGTTTTATTAATTTATTTTTAGTTTTATTAATAGTCAAACATTAAGGTATCGTTTCTTATTCTTCTTCTTCTTTCTGTTTACTTCTAAGTTCAATTCACTTTTAGTTTTGATGTATGCATTTCGGTTCTTGTTTAAATGCCTCTTTTCATTTGATGCGTATGAATAGATGTGTTTTTTCCTTTTTTGGCTTGATTCTGGCACATAAACGTGAAATTCTGAAACAAAATGAAGAATGGAAAAACAAAATGAACTTTAAGAGGGATTACTTTGAAGTTAGTGACTTGCTGGAATTGGTCAAAACATAATGGTTCAGGAAAGTTTTTAAAACCTTATACCTTATGAAATGTCTGCTTGAATCTTGTCATGTCAATGCAATGACATAAGTTTGTTTGTTTTATATCTCAGGTCAGATGGGACTCAGATGGTTGATTTTAATCGTTTGGACATTTAAAACGTATATTTTATGCTATTTTTCATATTGCGCATGGTACTTGCCTACAATTATTTCTGTTTTGTCACCCTTTGCTCCTCTTTCTTATTTGTGGTCTTGCTTGGCATCCCCCACCCCTTGAAACAGATCATATGCAGATGACTTTTTAAAAAACACTTCTTAGTAACATTTCATTGTTTTTAAAATTGTCATCTTTTGACAAGATTAACTCAGAACCAATTTGGAAGTACTGCCGAAGAGCAAAAGAGATACTAAATTTGTTGAAGCCCATCATTCTTAATGCAATAACTGGTTCAGACATTACTTCTGATGAAGTTCTTAGCAAGGCATTTGAAGAATTGTGTCCCTCTGTACAAGAATTGCTGGAGCAATTTGAAAGCTGGCAACCCTTTTGAGTAAAGTTTACTTTGTAAGTTACAAGTTATAATTTCGGTTTGCTACTTTACTTTGCAATTTTATTGTAGTTATAGCTGGGAGAAACACCTCAACTAACCTTTTTGGCATTGACATACTCCTCATATTATGAAGTTTTGATCAGTTACTCTTGGTACTTGGCAGCATTAGTGTTTTCTTTCGTGATGCTTCTTGTCGATAATTGTTGTCATTGTGTAGCTTTTGGGACAAGTTTATCCCCTGAGTACTGATTCCTGAATGTTTGATCACATTTAGGTGGAGAATTACTTTGATGGGTGCCTTTAAGGAAATAATATCATAGAAGAATAGAATTTTCTAATAAGAAACTATTAGTCAATTGCTTGGATAACCACATTATCTTCCATTTAATGTCTAGGTTCTGAAAGTTGAGTTATTAATATCAAAGATTCGGAATTCCAGCTTGGACATATTCCAATTCTTGAAGTCTTCCAATCAGCATCTTCATAATGATCTGAGTTCTATATCTCTTGAGGTAATTTATGCCCAAAATTATTGAAGCTTTTACTTTTACTTAAAGCTTGTTCTTTCATTCTTGTGTTTATTAGTAGAGCATAACTATCATATTCTCGTAACGATTAGCAAAGCGTTTTTACTAAGATGAGAAGTTATCTATCAGAGAGTGAATGACAATATGGCATCTAAAGTGTACAGTTTTGAGATGTGAGAAAATAAACAAATGTCTTCTGGATTTGATTTCTAAGTTTAAAGACTGCTAAAGAGGAATCCAGTTTTCAGGTGGTCTAACAGTTGGCAGAAAGTAGGATATTAGCAAACATCATCTTTCATTATTGAAGCCATAAGGGATCAACTGGATAGTCCTGGACCAAGCTCAGAAATACTAGTGAAGATTGCTGAGAGCTTCAGCTTGAATTCAAACCAGGAGATTCTGATAGAGGCTATGGCCTTTGAAAAGTTGAAGGAAAATGCTGAACAAGCTAAAAAATTGTAGAAGTTGAGTTCATTGGTACTTACTGCTCTTGCAACTCGCATGCATAATCGCCTTGTCTTAATAAAACAATCTCAGACCTGTAGCCCAGTTCTTATACCTCCCGAGTTTATCTGTCCCCTTTCCCTAGAGCTAATGGCTGATCCAGTGATTGTCGCATCAGGACACACCTATGACCGGGATTTCATCAAGAATTGGATTGATCTTGGGCTGACTGTGTGCCCCAAGTCACGGCAGACTTTGGCTCATACCATTTTTATACATAATTACACAATGAAGGAACTAATTGCAAAGTGGTAAGAGTCAAACAACGTGAAGTTGCTTGAGGCCTTTAAGTTCATGAGTTTAGATCAGCCATATCCTCTTCTTGAAACCGAGGTTAAGAAGTTGGTTGATTTCTTGAAGAGTACATCAATTGATACACAAAGGGAGGCCACAGCTCAACTCAGGTTACTTTCCAAGCAGAATAGGGACAACCGGACTAAAATAGCAAGTTGTGGGGCGATTAGCATGTTACTTGATTTACTTTATTCACCTGATACAAGGACTCAGGAAAATGCTGTTACATCACTTCTTAACTTATCAAATATTGATAACAACAAAACAGCTATTATTAACGCAAATGCAATTGATCCTCTGATTCATGTGCTTGAGACAGGAAGTCCTTTTGCTAAAGAAAACACAGCTGCCACTCTTTTTAGCCTTTCAGTCAACGAGGATAACAGACTCAGGATTGGAATGTCTGGGGCAGTCGGGCCTCTTTTTGATTTGCTGAGGAAGGGTACTCGTAGGGGAAAGAAAGATTCAGTGACAGCCTTGTATAATCTGTCAAGATATCATGAAAATAAGGCTCGAATTGTGCGGGCTGGTGCCGTAAGATATGTTGTGGATTTGATGCAACCATCATCTGGGATGGTTGATAAAGCAGTATTTCTTTTGGCAAAGCTTGCTACAATTTTGGAAGGGAGGACTGCAATTGGAAAAGAGGGTGGGATAGTTCCTCTGGTTGAGGTTGTTGAATTTGGTTCTGCGAGAGGAAAGGAAAATGCCGCAGCTGCACTTTTACTTCTCTGTACATACAATAATAGGTATAGCAGTTTAGTGCTGGAAGAAGGAGCTGTTCCACCATTACTGGCATTGTCCCAGTCTGGCACCCCGAGAGCTAAAGAGAAGGCAATGCTGCTTCTGGTGTTTTTTTCCCAATAAATTCCTTTCTTTTAACTCTGGAAAATTAAACATCATAAAGCTGATGATTGTTGCAGGCACAGGCACTTCTGAGCATCCACCGAAACTACCGACATGGTAATGCTGGAAGAGGCTGAATGTATGAAAAACATCCTTCATTGCGATCCAAGGTCTGAAGATTGTTGCATGCATAGGCACTTCTGAGCCTCCTCCGAAACTACCAACATGGTAATGCTGGAATAGGCTGAATGTATGAAAAACATCCTTCATTGCGATCCAAGGTTTTGGGTCTATACGGCTTGTTATACGTACATTTAATGTTGCAAATAGAGCATGTGAAGTTATGTTGCTTGAAATTACTGGATTTGTTGTAGTGAGAAAGAGAAAAAAAATGTAAAATAACTTGTGGAGGATTCAATTGAGAGTCCACTTGTGAAATAGTTTGTTTTTTTAAATGGGAAATTGTGAATGTTGGAAAGGGATCTTCGTACATGCGAGTCTGTCTTTATCTGGAGTTTGAACTTTGCTGTGAGCTTGGGTGAATGAATAATCTTTGTTCCATTGATCATACTTTTTACTCGTTATTTTTCATACACTACTAAACAATCAGACTAATTTCATGATTTGTAAGCTATGCTTCTTGTCATTGCAGGCTACCAGGACCATGAATTTAGTGATCTGTTTCCCTTGTTTAAACTACCCATCAGCTATCAAAATCCATTCTTTATATTATACTCATTGAAAAAACAAAATAACTCTTCAAAAGTGTTTATTATTTATAGATCTGAAATGCAGTGTTACAAGTGGTTTATAAAGAAATTGAATACTGTTCTGGAGAAAAAATTTACTCTCAAGGTGAGAGATTATCTTATAAAAGAATAACATGATTAAAGCAATGGATTATGATTAGACATGCACAGAAGCCAGATTTCAATCCGATCCGGATATCCTAACCGGTGTAACCGGTTTAGGTTTGAAAAAAACCGATTTTTTTAAAAAATCGGTTATAAAAAAACCGATTATAATATTATTAAAATTACATCGTCATCAATTGCAACAAAGTTTACGATAATTGAAATACTTAAATACTTCCAAGTTCGATAAATTCAAATACTTAAAAACTTCCAAGTTCGATAAATTCAAATACTTAAAAACTTCCAAGTTCGATAATTGAAACAAAGTTTACGATAATTGAAATAAAGTTTAAAAATAAACTACATTGCCATCTCTTCTTCATCATCTTCGCCTTCTTCGTTTGGAATGGATATTCCAAGTTCGACTTCTTCAATGTGTAAGTTTGCTTCCAAATCGGCATCAATTGCATCTTCTAGGGTGGTGATATGTTGCTTCCGAGCCGCTCCATCCAAATAATCCTTCAAACAAATGCATATTTCCACCGACTCGGGACTTAGTCTTGATCTCCGTTGCGATATAACCCTGCCACTAACAGAAAAAGCAGATTCCGAAGCTACCGTAGAAGCTTGGACGGTTAGTAAATCACGGGTCATGGCGGCTAGAATCGGAAATTGTGCTTCCTTTTCTTTCCACCAAGTCAAAATATCCAAACTTTCAAACTCTTCAAATGTCATTTTTGATAGAAAATCGCATGACATGTAATTTCCCAACTCGCTACTTGGGGTGGTAGTACGTGATCGTTTGGATTGAGAATTTACAAGAGTGTTAAAAAGATTCAAATTTATGTTGCTTGGACGTCTACTAGATGATTCCGCATTCGTTCTCATTTGATCGTGTATTACACTACTTGATCCGTATTTAGTTAAATAAATTGTAAACATGTCTCGAAAACATTTGTTAAAATAATTTATTTGGTTTTGAACAAAGTTGGGTTCATCATCGGTTAGATTAAAAGCAAACGCAATTTGTTCAATTAGTGTTTCAACCGGGCCAACATTTAACGTTGGGTTTAAAGCGGCGGCACAAGTAAAAATGGGGGGAATCTCCTTAAAATATTTTAAAAGTTTTTCCTTCATTGCAAAACCAATTTCTTGAAAAACTTCGGTTTCAAATTCAAAGTCATTTAGTCGGGTAGCCAACAAAAATATTTGATTAAGAACCAACGGGCTAGTAGGGTAATAAACACCGGATAAAAAAGTTGTTGCATTTTTAAAAACCCCAAGCAAATCGGTTATTTTGGCTATAGTTTCCCAACTCGAATCCGGATAAATGTTTGGGCCATGACCCCTCTCGAAAAGCCGATCGTGAAATGTTTGCAATGTTTCCCTTTGCCTTAAGGCGGTATGCATCATCATCCAAGTTGAGTTCCAACGAGTTTGACAATCCAAATTAGGATCCAAAGTTTTTTTATTAACTTGACTTACAAAATCGGTTATAATCATTTAGTGTTTTGTTGTTGTTACAAAGAACCGATTTTATCATTATTTTAAATTCTAATCTAATTGGCTCAATAACCTCCAAACCGGCTTGCACGAATAAATTAATTATGTGTGCAACGCAACGGGTATGAAAAAACGCACCGTCTAAAATCGGTGAAAGTAATATTTTCAATCTTGGAACCGCGTTTGTATTATTCGATGCATTATCAAATGATATAGAAAAAAACTTTATTTTCTAATTTATAAAGACAAATTACCTTTTTTAAAAGTGTAAATAAATTAGCACCGGTATGCGGCTCACCGAATAATTCAAACGTGATTGTTCTTTTCATCATTTGCTAATTATCTTGATCTAACCAATGTGCCGTAACAGCTAAAAAAGAATTTCCGGTATTATGAGGGGAACTCCAAACGTCACATGTAAGCGACACACCATAACGGTGTTCTTGGAATCCTAAAATCATTTTTTCCCTCGCCGTACGCCACATTTTTATAGCATCTCTTCTAAGGGTAGTACGACTTACTTGAGTATAACGTGGTTGCATTAGTTGTTGAATTGTTGCCGTGAAATCTTCATCATCAAAGTGGTCGAATGACAATGCTTTTGTAATCACGAACTTTGTAATCGTAATTTTTCGTTGTCGTAAACAAAAACACCACCTTGCGGTGTAAAATTCGATTGACTTGGATCCGATCTTGAGCGAAGTTCCTTGCATGATTTTGTCAAATGGTTCTTCAACATTGTGTTTCCTTCCGGTGCAAGCAACTTTAGAAAAAGTTTACAACGCGCCCTCCTCGAGCCATTTGACATCTCACATAAATCGTAGTGATCCCAAATATCTTTGTTTCGAGTGTGTTCGATCACTCTCACGACTTCAAGGTTTCCCCCGACGGAAGATTCAGCCGTGTTACTCATGATGAACAAAAAATTACAAAAAAAAAAGATTTGAGAGATGTTTAGGTGTTGTGTAATAAGATTTGAGAAAGTTGTAATCAACCAAATACATCCTGATCAACCAAATACATCCCCAACCTATTTATACATATTTAGGGTGGTAAAATGGTAATTTTTTTAAGAAAAAAACGGTCACAAAACCCCCCCAACGGCTATATTAACGGCTAGTTTTTTAAACCCATACCGGGTTTTTTTTTTCCCGGATAAAAACCGGTTTTTTAACCGGTTTTTTTCAAACTAGTTTTTTATCCGGTAAAAAAACCGGTCTAGGTTTTTTTTTCCAAAACCGGTTAAAAAAATCCGATCCGGTTAAAAAAAACCGGTTTTCCCCAAATCCGATTTCGGATATTTTTTGTACAAAATCGGATATTCAGATTTTTTGTACACCTCTAATTATGATAGACAAAATATGTTGTACAACGATTATAAGTAGTATACGAAATAAATTTGAAGATCAAATTTTCTCTTCTTGTCCGTTCACTCTTCCTATTTTCTTCTTATCGTCATTAAGAGTCGATTCAAGTATAAGCTTAATTTGTGGTGAGGACAACCCATGGAAATGTTGTTCTTCCTAGTGGATTTAAGTTCGAACGATTGTGTATGTAGAATTCGAATGTGTTGTTAATCGATCAAGAAAAATTATGAATAAATACTACTTTGTAATCACCTCAAATTATTCAAAAAAAAAAAGTTGAATCATAGGCAATACATGTTAGACCCAAAATTTTTATTTTAATAAATTTGATTCCCTAAATTCAAATTCGACTTCCGTTTCACTCGAATCTATAAATCTCAACTAAATCTTAAACCTTATATCTCAATCGAACAGTAAACCTTACAGTCCATAATCGATTTTCAATCATAAGTATTATTTTCGTCTCCAATGCTCTAGTGGTGTGTTTTCAGGTTAAACAAACATCGAATTCTTGTTCAGAATGACAAGATGAATTTGATAGAAAATTTTAGGACTCACCGACCTCCAGTAACGATGGCCGGTGATAGTTAAAATGACAATTGACACGATGTCTAGTCGAATGAGAGAAATCGAGAAAAAAAGAGGAAGAATAAAGAATAGAGAAAGAGAAATAATATTTATAGCGACTTAAAACGACTGTTTATGTATTGTTAAACATTTTGTCAAGAATGATTATAATATATTAGTCTAGTGCATTTGTGGATCATTACTTTAGTTGTAATATGTTAGTTAATTATATTTGTGGATCGTTATTTTAGAGTTTAAATTTTAAAATTATTTTACATAATATTTTGGTATTATTTTGTTAAATTTGTTAATTTATAATGTTAAGTTCTATATATTATTATTAAATATATATATATATATTTAGAAAATAAAATAAATTTTTAGTGAGTTTAACGAGTAACAAATCAAGTAGAATCGAACAATAAATTTATTTAACGAACCCAAATTAAGTAAAATTTTATCAAACTGGTCAAATATTGAATCAGGTTCAATACAATTCAAGTAATTTTTAAGTCAAATCAAACCTTATTTAATTTATTCTCAACTCGATCGATAACCACCGTAACCGCAACCCTTGCAGATCCTCCTTTACTTTTATTTCTCTGTGATTTCAACTTTCTAACCATCAAACAAATTCAACAGATCAAAAGAAAAACTTGTCAACGGAGCGCTAACACCCTCGTCCACCAATCAAAGTCCCAGGTGGAAACAGACTCTAATGCTAGGTTCTTCTTTTCCTCTTCTC